TTTCCTTTGAAAGTAATTAGGTTTTTTTTTTCATATAATAGGATATATAGATAGGAGCAACTTCACGGCAGCATTTTTCTCTCAGACATACATATGCAGATACATAAGTATCACTGTCATCCCAATAAAGCATATTTCTCTCCTTTCTCCTGAAATTGCATTAATTCATAATCACAGACCTAGTGAAGTTCAACACATAAAAGAACTATTACATTATTTAAACTTTCCTTTTGCCAGTGCTGGATTGCACCTTGTAAACAATTTCCTTTTTTGTTTCAATGTTTCTTTTTTTTTGTTGTTTGTTTTAAAGTTTCAAGTCCAATTGATATCACCATGAGGAAACTGTTTCTATTATTTCAGTCTAAATTATATTTTTCTTAATTTCACACTTACATGTTCATTTATAATTTCTGTTGTTATTCTTTTAAACCACTTTTTTTTCCCTATGAATTTACAACTTTTAGACAGACAAGCTGTCTCTTTTCACATCTGCCTTTAAAAAAATGCTGGACCAAATGAACCAATTTTGTTACAAAAGCATCAGTAAAGCTCTTAAAGGTCAAAGGACTTTAGACCATACACAGGATCAGTTCTTCATAGTCAAGGCCTGACTGTCACAAGACAATTTTCACTTTTCTTTGGTCAAAAATCATAAATAATTGTACCTCTCTACAGAAACCCTGTGGACCATACAAAATTTAGGATTTATTAACACATTATGAATGGTATATGCCATGATTTTGCCATGAATCCAGAACCCTCTTTTTCAAAATATTGGAAAAAAAACAAAGGATGATTTTATTTTATTTGATGAAAACATAGCTCCTATATGAACTGCTGATCCACCACATTCTGTCATGCTCTGGAGAGCAAGGGAGTCTCTTTATCTCCATATCATCTACATTTGTGATGGCAAATCTCTTAAAAGGAACAAACTTTGACAAAAGGTAAAGGAATTTCACATAAAATATGTCTTTGCGATATCATCTGAAACAGGCTGATCTGGAACCAATTTATTGAGTGCAAATTACTGCCAACTTTGCTTTGAATAACAAAATGCTCCAGAGATTTCTGAGATATTTAGCCATAGGGAGCTGTCTAGCTACATAAGGATTTTTATACTTTTTTTTAACACATCTTTCAACTTAATCATACACAATTGCACAACCTAGTACTCAGGGAAATTATGTGGATTTGTCACACTGCCTGAAGGACTGTGGGACCAGTGAACCAATGAATGGATTACGCTGAACCATGAATGTGGTTTGTTCACCTGTAACAGATAAAATAGGGATATTTGCCATATTAAAGTTTAAAAACATTGGAATCATAAATAATTCTAGTGGAATTTATTTTAATGTATTAATTAAAAATTAATAGTGTTCTCTTTATTTTCCAAAGCAAAGTAAGATGCTATAAACTGTGTTTATATGAAAACAAGCAGAGCTGGTAAACTGTACTGCTGAATTATTATGCACCTTCTAATTGTAATGACTCAAAACCTAGGATGAAATGTAAATGCAAATGTTTTGGTAAAAAAAAAAAAGCACTGACAGATCTCTTTTCTCCCTGTAATGCATGCTTGGCATTGTTTATCGCTGACACAATATTAATCATACTCATATGCTGGTCTATGGTATCAGAGATTAAAAAAAGAGTTTATAAGTCTGTTCTGGGCAACACAGAATAAGACATCTAGTTGACTTTTAAAAAGCATATAGAAATCTTGCAAATTGGCAAAGAACAGGGGAATGGAAAGGAAGAGAAGGGAAGGGAAAGGAAGAGAAGGGAAGGGAAAGGACGGGAACGGTTTAACTGAAAGAAAAATCCCAAACCAGAAACCCTTGGGAAAAAAAAAAAAATCCACAGGGGAAATTCAAAATAATTTGACTTTGCTTCGTTCTAGAAAAGCAGAAATTTACATTTTTCTAAACTCCCAATTAAAATTAAAAATGTGGCTTCCAAAAATGATATACCAATACATTTTTTACATTTTCTCCCCTGGAATAATAAAATCTCTTTTTTTTCCTTTAAGTATTTATTGGCATTTCAAATATAGCTATTAACTAATATTTCTAAGATACACTGAAACCTTCTGTCCTTGGCATTGCGTTTTCTGTTGACCAAGGAAGGAAAAAACCATTTTTCAGTGAATTATGGGACACCTTTGGATTACTACACTGGTGCAAGTATTATAGAAATCCTTTCCACACTACCCTTGAGAACTTCTGTCTCACAATATACTTTTGTGTCACAGTCACTAGATTTATTTTTGACCAAGGCCATCAAAGTGTATGCTAACTTGAAGCTGAATCTCCAGCTTATTTTCCATACCTTCACCCAAAAGCACTGATGCCAGTCTTAAAACAAAATATAAACTGTAACACTTAGAAAATAAATACTATTTACCTAATCTATAAAAAAGTCCACATAATAATTCAATAGTGTCTGCAGATGTTCAGGTATATATGCATTACTTTCAATTGAAAACTTAATCATTACTGGTTTGCAGAAAAGACTCTGTTGTACAAAATCATTACAGTCTAGCAGAGTATTTGACAGTCTTTTATGAATCTGAAATGACCTCAGTGACTTAAACCTGTTAGTCCTAGTATCTTAAATATGAGCCATAGCTTCCTTTCTTCTTAGAAACCTTCCAGCCTACTGGAAATATGATTCATACAATATTAAAATATTATTGCCAAAAGCTAGTTAATGGTAATGTAACACAGAAAATTATCTGATCTGTCTTTCAGTAAATCTAAGATACCACACAGAAATAAAAGGCTGTCACAGTGCTATTTGTTCTAACTTCTTCACTTCTGCATAAAAGTCAAACTATTGACTGGCTCTGGGCAGCGAACACTGAACAGCATCAGATGAGTTGCTCTGCCACCAAGGGCATGTTCAAGAAACTGGAGGAGACCAAGGGTGACCTCCTTAGAGAAGATATGCTGAGAGGAGGGATTGGCAGAGCCTCGGTTAAAGTGAGAGCTCCAACACCACAGACATGGAGGGGAACCTCAGCTGGTGCAGAGATGGGGATGTGGAGGTGACTCAGTGGGAAGGATTAACTGAACTTCATTTTTCCAGGAATCACACATTTCAAGATGTAGGTTAATTTGTGAATTCAGCATCAAATCAATGAAACCTGAAATGTAGAAATGTATTATTTATGGTTCCTCATATTAATATTAGAGGTATTTTACAATAGTCTTTTGTCTCTTCACCTGGAATAATGCTCATGTCAGGAATTTTCATCCTGCTACCATCAGAAGGAAAAGAATAATTAATCCTGGATAAGTGATAAACACATTGTCTCTGGAATTTCCTGTGTAGCTTAGAAATTGACAGGAACCCAAGCCCAGAAGCTCTGCCTCTTACAGGAGCAAGTGTGTTGTTTCTGTAACAGACATTCATGGCCTCCAGCTACCAATGACTTCAGCAGTTCTAGACCTCATGCCTCTGTCTTAGACAGAATTTTACCTATGTGAAAGCAGGTGTCTTGGCTCTCAGTTTCTTCTGACTGCACTGGTAGCCAATTCCTGCTGAATTTGGAGTCATACCTGCCTTTTCTTTTTTTTAACTTGAAGCCCTGAAGATAAGGCACAATGTGATTAAACCAAGCCAAAATTGCTATAAAAATACCCAAAACAAAGTATGTGTTAGAGCAGGGGTTTGGGGATTTTTTTGTTTGTCTTTTTTTGTTTTGTTTTTTTTTTTAATACATAGAAGGCAAACATGCTATAACACTATTCCTTCTTTGATTTATAAGACTGAATTACAGAGGATGGTCTGTGCAGCTTCAGTTAACATATTGCCTATCCTAACTGTGTAAACAATGTCATCTAGATGGTAAGTAGGTGGTCTCACTCCTCTGGCTCTTAAACCTTTGTGCAACTATAATGACAACACAGCCATTAGGACACTAAGAATATTTCTCACCTCCTGAAAAACAGTTAGGTAGCCACAGCCCTGTCTCCACTCCATCACAGTTAAAAAGCTGTAAATATTTGTTACCCATGTATTTTACTTGTATATTTAATTTACAGCAGTGCATTTTTACCTGTGAGATGAGCTGTGGGAATAATATAGTGTTTAATACAGTCTCTGCTAAATATCCAGAGATCCAGCAAAATATTGCAGCACTCTGGGGATAAGCTACAGTATTTTATTTCAGCAGTGAGTAGCAGTGAACCATCCTTTCAACAGAAAGAAGGCTGTTATTTGGGGAAATGCTAAGCTATTTGCTGACAGAATTCTGAAATACTTCAGAAAGGACAGAGGTGATGCCTTACTTTTCAAGTTCTCATTTATCATGTACATATTAGTTGCTTTTTAAAGACTGGATCAGATCTTTAAAAAAAATCTGTCAGACAAATGTGCTTGTATATGTGTTCATAAACACACACGCATGCATGTGGGCTGAAGTCTACAGGTTATATTGAGGCATTATATATGGATAGATACAGAAACAGAGAGAAGGAACCTGTGGAATGAGAGCTAATTTTAGGCATAGCTCATCTTGCCTCATTTCAGCCATCTAAAATGTTGGCATCTGATCCAAGCTAGTTGACTGGGCTGCCACTGGGATCAATGAACAAAGAAAGGAGCTCAGGGAAGGGAAACATCCTGTGCTGGAGTGTTTTCTAAGGGATACAGCATGAAAGAATGAATGTAGGTGACTAAGTAGCACCAGAACACCCTATATTGCCCAGAGTCAGCCAGGGTGATTCCCACCTTCTTTATTCACCTAATAGCTAACCCTGCTTGGTGTCACTGTCATGTTTTCTGACACATCAAATACTTAAACGTTTATTAAAAGTTGCCTTGGAACTATTTACAGCCATTTATCAAGATTTTACATACACAGCATCACACTGAAACTTACTCCTGCAGGACATTTCTAAAAACCAAGCCACTGAACAGTGTTTGTGTTGCAACAATGGGTTACACCAGCATGCAGTAAGAGAAGAATTTTAATAGTTTAGCCTCCTTACCAGAATGTGCGGTTCTCAGAATGCATGAAGGCCTCCATCTTTCTGCTCCTGGAGCATTCTCCCTTTTGTCTTCCTGTCAGCTTGTCTCCCTAAGCAGTTTGTAACAACTGACCTTCACTTTCCTAGAAATCAAAACAAATAAAAATATTTACTAACTGCTTTATCTTTTTGAAGACTACCTCTGTCAAACCAAAGTGTGTATCTTTCAAACTCAAAATCGCTGACACTAAGAAATTGCAATACTGTCCTTCACTTGTGTCTTGGGAATGCTGACAGGGATGGATTGCGCACTTGGTTAGTTTATTTATTTATTAATTTATGCTTATTTTGCACATAGCTTCCTATTAAGTTAATCAGTGTAATACTACAGGGACTGTTTATAACTCACCCTAGATATAAAGCAATGGGATGTCAGTGACAAAGACAACTTGATCAAATAATGTAAAAATAATATTAAATGCCACTAAAAAATGTAATGACCAATAAATTTTCATTGGTATTTTAAATTAATACCTTAAAATACAGTAATTTCATACCTGTCATAACTTTCAGTGTGCTTCTAAGTCACTCATAGAAAGTGAGCTTATAAAAAAACCTCTTAAAAAGTCCAGTTTTGTAAATCTTTCATTATTATTAATAATGTTTATTAATAAGATAATAGTAGACAAAATGCTGAGTGAATTCTATTGGTTCTTATCCCCTCAAGTACAACTAATTCCCTCAAATACTGCTATACTGTGTGTCCTACAAAAATCCCTTCTACATCTCACCAGAGTCTTAACAGAGATTCAAAATTGTGGCAAACGTATTTACAAAATTAATTGTAATCAGCAGTTTGAACTGACTTGTTAATCTAGATTTTTATGATAATTTAATTGCATATTAATGTTGTCATGTAATATGTTCATGGGCTTTTAAAATAACTGCATACCAGATGGTGTTCCCTTAAAACTGCCCATTTTAAATCACTTACATTTAATCTTTTCAGAGGTAAATTTAGTTATACCAATTTTTACTTGGAAAAATGGCTTGTAAATTATAGTAAAGTGGTAAAAATAGAGGTGTCCCTGCCCATGTCAGGGGGGTTGGAACTTGATGATCTTAAAGTCCTTTCCAACCCTAACTATTCTATGATTCTATGATTCTATGAAATTAGCAAAAAGACACAAACAAGACCTCTGTAAAAAAACTCAGTATCTATGTATTTAAACTAATACTTCCTGATCAATGCCAGCAAAGGCTTTAATGTCTTGTTTGTTTTAAGTGTAAGCTGTAACTTCTCTGTATTCATGGATTTTCATAGTGCATGTTGTTTTTCATCTCACTCTGTCTATTTTCATCTGTTTCAGATGAAATTGTATTCACCTAGTACAGAAGACAAGGACTAGTTGTCCCCTTGTCTTGTTAGAGTTCTTTGTGAAGGACAGCAAATAACTAACAAAAAAAGCAACCCAAAACCAAACCAAACAAATGTCAAGAGCATGGAATCAGAAAGAAAACAGAAAACATGATAATGTTGATGTTATCCACAATAAGTTCTCACCCTGAAGGCACTTAAATCTGTTAAACGTTATGCACCAAATGAGTAATCCCATTGAGTTCTGACAAATTACTCCTATGAATAAAATTAAACTTCTGCATAAATGTATAAAGAGGTCAAGGCATTTATTTCCTTTCTACTACAGAAGATTTTAATTTTCTTAAATGTCTTCTGTAAACACATCCCAGCTTTTTATATCCAGCGTCATGGTTCTGCACGAAGAGCACCACAGGTTGTAGTTGAAGGATAAAGGAAGAAAAAGTTCTATTCTCATTTTTATCTGTTACCTTGGCAAAGTAATTTGACATCTTTGTGCCTATAGAATAGTTACTGTGCTATCTTTTGAAACACTGAAAATCCATAGTTAAAAAGATATGATTATTCAGTGTAGTATCATTAAATACAAGACTGAAGAAATGGAAAAAAAGATAAAAACTGAAAACAAGCAATTGGAATAAAAATGGGGGTGTAGGAGTAAAATAAGGCACATTTGCTTCATTTACAGTGTCTGGAGGTTCCCTCACTCATAAAATCAAACTTTAAAAAATTGCTTCCATTCTCATCCTCATTCCTATTGAAAGAGATTATTATAACACAAAAATACAACAGCACAAAGTGACACTTTTGTTGGCAGTGGTAGAGATATGTCAAATACTGAAAAGAAATGAGGAAAAGGTACATCTGCAGCACATAACAAGTAGTCTTCAGATATTATACCTCTTCCATAAGCATTCACAGTGTGCCCGTAAAAACCTGTTCGGGGATATATCTGACTGATCTACCCTGTATCACTGCATGGGAGGCAATTTTGTACCAACATATTTATTTGGCAACAGAGGAAGAGACCTGGGCTGTTGACATTTGCCTGCCCCTTTCCACTGCCTTCCAAAGGCCTGTTGGTGCTGATGTCTGAAACTGAAGATATGCTTGTATCTGCAGACTGCAAATTCATCTCACCTAAACATCTTACCTGAGCAGAACAGGTCAGCCTCCACCCTGAACTCTTACATGCCTAGGACACACCAGTATGCCCTGTGGTTGTCTTCATTACCTCCTCTGAATCAAGACTAGGAAGTTGCTCATGCAAACATACAGAGATGCAGCAGAGAGGAAGAAAGTCCTCTCTAGGGTCATGTGAATGAAGTGTGTGTGTACACGTTTCTAGATACACAGAAAGCAAAATATGAGAATCAAGGCATTCCTTCTTCCTGTCAGTTTAGGAAACAATACTGTGTACATTTATTTCTCATGGAATGTAAAATATAGTACAGGATAAAATACCTTTGCCATTTTGATTCATAGAGATCATGGACAAAGAACAGGCTGGAACTGACAAGACAAAAGAGCTACTTGGACCCAGTGTACAGCTCCTCAGGGCCCTGTGGTTCTCCACAGCAGCTACACAAGGCATCTTGCAGAGGACTCTACTGACTCGTGCAGCTTCAGCAACAAAGGGAGCACTGACTGCTGAGTCAGCAGGGAGGATGAAGACTAGAAGAAAGCCAACATGATCAAGAGACACGTTTCTAGCAGTTCCCTGAATCAATTTGTAGCAGTAGTATATGACCATAAGCTTAGAGTCAGTTGACCAAAAAAGTCATAACCCGATCTGATCCTTCAGATAATGACACAAATCAACACAAGATTTGTGAACTCAGGTGTTCACACTGAGAAATTTGTAACCACTGAGAAAACTGCACAGGGCAGCCTACTTTCTTTAAGGAAAGACAAACAAACAAACAAGAAAAGGCCTTCCCCTGTGCTTAAAGTTGTTTTCCTGCACTCTTGGTTCTCACCTCACAGCATATTCTGTATTTTAGCTCCTCACTCATTGCAGGGCTGGGCCTCTCAGCAGTTCACTTTAACACTGGTCCAAGACAAACCTGCCTCACATCTGTACCTGAGGCAGAATGCAATCCACAGCCATCTTGGTCACCTACTGACTTGGCGAATACAACTGATCGCAGACTAACTGTGATATTCTTGAGTCCAAAGACAGTTCTTGTCAACTCCCATTCCTTTGAGTCATCTTACTTGGAAGACATATCGTTGAGGCAAAGCTAGAAATATTTCATTTTTTAGCTCCCTGCTGCAGAAATATAAACAACGGAAATATTCAGGGTGGAAAAGTCTGGAACAGGTACCTCGCTGTTGTCGACAAGATCGATCCCACAGGGAAGTCTGCGGCCTGCCTGGGGCTCAGGTTAGAGATGTTAAAAGGAAACTCTCTGATCTGGTGCATCTCTCTGACTCCTATCCGCTGCTGGTTTTTCAGGTTGGCAGTGATGAAATTATTACAAGGAGGGCAAGGGCAATGAAGAGAGACTTCAGGGCCCTGGGACGGTTGGTTAGAGGGTCTGGAGAGCAAGTAGAGTTTGCCTCCATACCTGTTACAAGCAAGGGTAAAGATATAAATAGGAAGAGTCTGCAAATTAATATATGGCTACGTGACTGGTGCCAAAGGCAGGGTTTTGGCTTGTTCAATCATGGGCTGCTATATGAGACACCCGGTTTGCTAGTGGCAGGTGGGATACACCAGTCCCAGAGGGGGAAAAAGTTTTTGGGGCAGGAGTTAGCAGGACTCATTGACACGGTTTTAACTAGATATGAAGGAGGAAGGGCAGAGAACTGGGCCTGTTGGGGACACGCCCAAGAGAAACATGCTAGGGCTTGAAGGATGGTGTACTAGGGAGGACTCTCAATCTATTGCTTCATTTGAGGGAAAGGATAGTTGTTTAGACCCTGTCCCGCAGGGGAAAAAGGGTATCAGGGGGAGAGTTAACAGAGCTCACTCACAGAGCTTTAGGTTAGACTCAAAGTGCAGGGGGTTGTAGCTGGATTTGAACTAGTGGGGCATTGTTCTAGTATTAATGAAGACCAAAAGGCCTCCTGCCTCCCAAGGGTGCCACTAGCATGCTCTGCTTGCTCCCTGAAATGCTTGTACACCCATGCACACAGCATGGGGAATAAACAGGAGGAATTATAAGTCTGTGTGTGGTCAAAAGGCTATGACCTGGTGGCAATTACAGAGACATGGTGGGACAGCTCACATGACTGGAATGTGATCATGGATGGCTATGTCCTTTTTAGGAAAGATAGGTCAGCAAAGCGAGGTGGTGGAGTTGCTCTTTATGTGAGAGAGCGACTAGAATGTACTGAGTTTTGTCCAGGGGCAGATGAGGAGCAAGTGGAAAGTCTGTGGGTACGAATTAAGGGACTGGCTGGTATGGGTGATACAGTTGTGGGGGTCTATTATAGACCTCCTGATCAGAACGAAGGACTTGATGAGGCTTTCTACAGGCAACTGAAAGCAGCCTCACGACTACATGCCTTAGTCCTCATGGGAGATTTTAACTACCCTGATATTTGCTGGAAGACTTACACAGCCAATCATTCACAGTCTAGGAGGTTCCTCCAGTGCATTGATGGTAACTTCTTAATGCAAATGGTGGACAAAACAACTAGGAGAGGAGCACTGCTGGATCTAGTACTCACCAACAAGGAGGGTCTGGTTGAAGTGGTGATGGTCAATGGCAGCCTTGGCTGCAGTGACCATGAGATGGTGGAGTTTAGGATCCTGTG